CAGGTCACTGACAGATATGGCCATGTGTTTTAGTTTCGAGTGTCAGGCTTCGGCACATTGACCTACTGAAATTCTTTTAGGAGCAGATGAACTTAAAGACGAACGACTAATTTCAACTCTAATTCTCTTCCCATTTTTTTATAATTTTAGCTACTCTGTAATTTATAAAGTTGTTAGTTATTTGATTGAATATGTTGCATTTATTCAGTGAACGTAACTAACGACTAATTGCTTTGTTTTCTGTAATATTTAAACGATTTCTTAGTTGCTCTTGCATGTAAGTTTTGTTTTAATCCCATGTTTTCGTCACGAGCGTGGCATACGGGCCGCGGCAACGCACGAGGCGATTATCGCGCTCCTGCCCGCCTTGTATACGAACGCTCTGGTTGGTCGGTAATTTTTGTTAATAACTCGACAACCACGCCTCGGACAACTTTTTTGCAAAGGAAAAAGTTCTTTAAAATCACCGTGGCTCCTCCCCATTTCAAGGCCTAACACTAGTTCTGGGACACCCTGTATGTATGTTTTTCCAAGTCGCCTTTAATATACATGCCATTTCGACGTCTAATTGGAAAAGTGAAAGATTCTATTCAACAGCTAGTGCTAATACTATTCTTATTGTGCTCAATCTGACCACTGGAGCATATATTTCCATAAAATCAATTCCAGGCTGTTGAGCATAGCACTTTGCTACTAATCTGGCTATAGTTCCATCACTCCGATATTTCGTTCTCAACCCCCATTTACATCCAATCACGTTTTTATCTCGAGGCCTCACTACGGAAGTCCACGCTTTATTATCAGCGAGTGCATAGTATTCTTTTCTCATCGCTTTCTTTCATTCTGCGAAGTTTGCACCACTAAGTGCCTCTTCAAGTGTTGGATTCTCCTCATGTACCATTTTGGTTTTGACAGAATTTGTTTAGCGTCTTGAGGAAGTGTGCATAGAATAACAACACTTTAATTATCAATTGAGCTTTAATATGCTTTAATATAAAAGTATAGAAAACACATTCACACTGTGACATGGCCGATATGCGCCTCGTGTTCGACTACCTTGTACAGCCACCGAACTCGCCACTAGAGGCATGATCATCGACNAATTAGATCAATTATCTGTTCGCTTCTATTGCTTGACTGTGTAAAACGAACTGTAGTTTGTTTTTCCTTTATGCACGTTTCACATAAGGGAATTTTATCATTTTTATTAAAATTCATACCCACGACCATGTTTTTAGATACTGAAGACTTCATATCGGACTCATTTAGATGTCCATATCTTAAATGCCACATGGTATTTGTGCTTACTTCGTTATTTTCCGCGAACAGACAATTTTGTTTAATAGTTGCGTTAAGAAAATATAAATTTCCTACCTTCGGTGTTGTGATTTCTTCCATTCTGCTAATCATTATTTTTGCCTTGTTTTTTGTGAATAGAACCTTCTTTCCATTCTTTGCCATCTTTGCTATAGACAAGAGACTTGTTTTCAATTCAGGAACGTATAGAGTATTTTCACATTTTATAATTTGGTCTCAATTCCTATTCCCCTTACTTCCACATTTCTTTCAGTGGCAAGTCCAATTGTCTGATTAACAACGGGTTTTAACCTGAAAAACGAGGACTTCTTGTTGCACATATGAGATGTTGCTCCACTATCTATGCACCAATCGTTGCTCATCAAGTCCATAGTGGTCAAAGCTAACCTTGCTGATACATCGTGATTTTTCATTTCATGTACCGTGAGAATATCTTCACCTTCTGTCATGTAATTTGCTTGTTGCTTTGCATTGGCTTTCCTTTTAAAACAATTGCTTGCTTTGTGTCCCAATTTTTGGCAATAGTGACATTTATATGGTTTGTAAGGTCTTTTGGTGGTAAATCCCACTGCGTTCACTTTATTTTCACTTACTTCCGTGCTTTGAAGATCATTAGTGAACTGTGGCTTATTTGCATTTCTCTCGTGCTTTACGTAAAATGCTTCTTGCGTACCACTCCTTCCATCTACCCTTTTCCTTGCTTCAGATTCTTCTAAGAGTTTTATCTTTAAGGACTATGGATCTGGAAGTTTATCTCTTGATTCTATTGCACACCTGAAATTCTCATAGTCATTTGATACATCGTAAAATGCTTCTTGCGTACCACTCCTTCCATCTACCCTTTTCCTTGCTTCAGATTCTTCTAAGAGTTTTATCTTTAAGGACTATGGATCTGGAAGTTTATCTCTTGATTCTATTGCACACCTGAAATTCTCATAGTCATTTGATACACTGTATAGAATTATTATCGACAAAAGATTATCACCGATTTGTATGTTCATCTCCATCAATTTGTCGACTATATGAAATAGTTTATTCAAATGTTCAGCCATATTTTCGCTCACTTCAAGTTTTGTAAATAATAATTGCTTTAGAAGTGATGCTTTCTTTGCTGGTCCTTCTGATGCATATACTGTTTTCAACGCCGTCCACACATCTTTCGATGTTTCGCAATTCTTTGATGATTCTTGTATCAAGCAGTAATAAAGTTGTGTGGTTCAAAGTAAATCTCCAAATTGAAGTTAATAGAAAACCTAAGAAATACACCACAAGTAAAATAAGTATTCTAACAATAATTAGTACTATAAAATTTTAACAGCAGAGAACAGGTTTGAACAAGAGGCGGCCGTATTAAGAAGGGCCTTATTCAGGGGGGCATTATTGAGAGGGGCCTTATTTAAAGGGGCCTTCTTGAGAAAGGTCTTATTGAGAAGGGCCGTATCGAGAAGGGGTCTATTAGGAGAGACTTATTTGAATTTCGGACATAGTTGAGAGTGATATCGCAGTTCGAGAGCAAATAAAAAAGAATGTTCCTATGACCTGAGAAGGGCTTTATTGAGAAAGAGATCTGTATAATGAAATTGCAACACTCAAGTATAGAAAATTAAATAATGGAAATCAAATTGTTTTGATTTTTTATTTAAGGCGACAAGCTACTGCCAGGGGACAAATACGTGATGACGGAGCATGCGTTGAACGACTACTCCTGGCAGATGAACCTAACCGTCAACGAATTAACGAGGCCTGACCTCGGGGAATACGTCTGCTCATCTGTCAATGCCCTCGGCAAGGCTGACGGAGTCGTTCGCTTGCAAGGTAACAATTTATTTTAATTATCAAATTTTAGTTATTTAGCACGTTAAACGCGGAACCAGTTTTACTGAGCTTTCCGTTCAGACGGTGCGGCAGGTTTCGGCCTTAACAAATAATGTGTTACATAGTATGAAACGTATGTTGCAGCGACGATTTTATTTCACTTTCCGGTTGGACTATGGTAATGCGTAGCAAAAACAGCCAGAAATTTGACCAAAAATATCGTCACTTTCTGTAATACATGTAAAGTCAAACCATATCTTTGTTTAGAATGTTTTAGTCAATTCATTAAAACTACATTATTTATTTATTAACTTTGATACTGCCAGTTCCTGGGACTGATGCCAGCAAAACGAAAAATTCACTATCGCTTCCCAGGGACCGACAACGTGCCGCCTGAACGAGAAGTTCACTGTCGGTCCCGAGGGACCGACGCCGACGTAGCGCTTAACGTATTAATAAGTATACTAATATTTAATAAATTAGTTATTTAATATTTAAAAAATAAATCTTAATTGTAAATTAATTGCTAATAAAAAGAAATCTTAAGTGCA